TCTGCAGCATACCTGTGTTGAAGAGAATGGAAGAAAAATACCTAGTAGCTGTCTTCAAAAAGAACAAAAATCCTCAAAATTTCATCAAAAAAGGTTTAAGTACACATCACGACACCGACGACAAGCCAACATCAAAGATCATAAGAAAATTCACTTTACCACATATAAAAAATATCTTCAAGTATTGGTTTTGTAGAGATTTCTGTTTGATTGCATGAAGGAGTTCATCATGAGCTTACATCAGTTAGAGAACCACTGGAAAACCTGGGAGTACTGGACAGCTGTTTCGTCCTACTTTGGGACTCTTCGTCAGTATGTACCCACCGACAGGGTTCGAACCCAGGACCTTCGGGTTACTAGGCGAGCTCGTGACCAGTAGGGTACAGCAAGCTGAAAATGAGGCAGTAAATCATCGAAGAAGACATTGGGAAATGGTTGCGCCATATCGCGAACTGGCAGATGTTAGAATTCACAAGCCATTGTATTGGGACCTATTGGCCTAACTGTCTACGAGCTAGCTCGCTTTGTAACTAGAAGGTCCTGGGTTTGAACATCGGCGGGTGCGTACTGATGAAGAGTCGCAAAGTAAGACGAAACAGCTGGCCGACCAGTACTCCCAGTGGCTGACTGATGTCAGCTCATGATGAAATCATCCATGCAAAAAAAATTATCTCTGAAATAACAACTAGAATATTAAGACCATATGAAACAGATATAGCACACAAGCCAGACAACCAGCACTATCACTCCATTTGATATTGTGCAGACCAAAAGACCCTTTCAACAGAAAAAGGAGAAAAAGTTATCACTATTTACAAAATGAGTTGCATGCATGAGCTGCAATAAACATTACATCGGTCAAAGTGGATGTCCAATACGAGCCGAAATCCAAGAACACAAATTGGCTGTAAAAGACATGATATATATTTTTTCTTATCAATAAAGGTAAATAATTGTGGACACCAATTCGATGATTGGAACAATGTAGAAGTCTTAAATAAAGGAAACATCAAAACTGATGCCAGGGAATTCACAGAAGCCTGATACTCAAGCCAATGATTAACGAACACATTATTAGAGACAAAATAAAAAAATGAAATCCAATTAAAAGTGGCTAGTCTTGGTATTTTATCATTCAATTGAAGAATCACCATCGATAGTGTGTTGAAAATAAGACTTAGCTAAAAATGGCCACAAAGCCAGCCAGCATTGGATAATCAATCCTTCTCTGTCATCTACCCGGTACCAAATACATTGGCAAAAACATCTAGGTATGGCATACTCCAAAAAACAGAGGCAATCGCGACTCACCTTAAACAAACGGTAATATGTGTGTGTGTGTGTGGAAAAGAAGCAAGTCCAGCCAGCCACTTCTACTGCGCTGGTCTTCAGTGGAGACCATAAATTCATGAATTCTATATTATGATTATTTTTCCTCTAAAGATCACACCATTTTCCAAGCGTTGCTTTGGAATGTCAATGAATTGAAAATTCCTATCATTTCCATGTTCCATAGTAAATGCAATATCTGTATGTGCGTCATTGAACAATCCGAGTAGGTAGAAAGTATGACTGTCATTGTTGCACACTGCAAATGTATTATCTGAATATCGACAATAAGACGCTGTTTCGTCAATCGCTTGCTTCAACTTTGTTAGGTTAGTCATGAAGATATCTACTAAAATAGAGCAAAAGGGTACTTTCCAAAGCTACACCATTTATTTGGAAGTAAACAGTGTAGCCAAACTGGAATTGTACATCTATGGTACACATAAGCAGTATTCCAGGCATCATCGGAAAGGCGAAACAGATTTCCCCAACTCCTAAATCACAGTGAAAATATACTGCGTTCCGCATAAAGAACAAGATTTGGAGCTTAAACACTGATGTCAAATCAGACAGTCTATCAAGCCTCAATATGGTTCAGGAACTTGACTAGCATGGGAATTAGACAAAGGATTCCCGATAGGCTAATACAGAATTTCATCAACAACTGTCTCCACTTCACTACTGGAAATTAGACGACAAGCGAGGAGGGATTGGCAACACGAGACTCTGAAAACGAACCAACAATCAAGAACTTATCACTGAAAAGAATGCTTTCAGAAAATGGAGATAAACTGAACACATGCTGTGCAGATCGTTGAGTGATACTACGCTCCAGGTCGTCGATCTAATGGAAGCCGAATATGAAACCACGACGAATTGTACATTTGCTGGAATGTGGTATTGGAGAAGATTGTGTGAAGAAGAGGCGAAGGCTTATGAGGAATCGTAGAGGTGAATGAAAAGGACTGAAGAGGATAAAATTAAATACAAATGTACTGTTGAAGCCTTATGTTCACTCGGAATCCAACGGAATAATATTCATATAATAAGATAGTTATGTCCTATGAAATCTCTAATATACATATATATTACTCACACTTTTGATTTTTAAGATATTCTGATGAATTTCAGAGCATATTTCATCAGGAATCAACATCACTCATAGAATAATTAAGAAGTATGAAGTAGTAGACAGCTGTTTATTCCTAGTTAAGGACTCCTGATCAGCGTGAACTCACGACAGTATCAGTGGGGAAGAAAGTAAAACCTTCAAGTCACCAGGCCACTTAATCAACCAATCATACATTCGGATGGAATTCTGACATCCATGAATTCATTAAAGAGCGAAAATTTCTTGAAGTTCTAATAGGGAATTGCAGCTGTTAGAATCCATCATATATATCACGGTATAATAGATGCTGATCGATTTCATTGATGGTTATTGGTAACGCTACATTGCAAACTGAAAGAAGTCAGAATCTCTGGGTTAAAGAATTCCGACTAGGTAAGGGAATGGTTAACAGCCTGGTCCTGTAAACTGAAAGTCCTGGATTCGTTACGTGGATGGGCTATACGCGCGTGTTGATGAATAGTCTCCAAATGGGGCGAAACACCCTTCCATTACTCCCTGGTGTACACAGTATTTCTCTAACTGATCACATTTAAAACAATTCAAATTCGTACAAACCAACCTTTAAAAATTAGTTTGGTGCTCAACAGTGATTGGCTACAGAATTAAGTTGCCAGAAGATCTAGTGGGCATTCGTGATCAGTGAAGTCCACCAATTCGGGTGTGAGAACAAGCACTAACTCAGGAAATCGGCTAGCGGCTGCATCATATATACACACATAAAACTGGCAGAAGTCGAAATCCAGTGGTCTGGTAACCTCAAGACTCTCAGTTCAGTCGCAGGTGGGGTCATTAGTACTCACACATGACGTGTCTCAGACAGGGACGAAATAGCTCTCCCCGTGCTCTTATCTTTTTCCAGAGATTTGTATATTATATCAAAACTGATCAGAAAAAGTGTCAAACTGCTTTAATGATTCAATGTTTAATGAGATATTGATGACGATAGAATAAAACTTTTCTGACAAAATTCAGTCTGCACTAAAAACATCAAGGAATATGTTTACGGCATTAGTTACTATCTATTGTCCGAACAAACTATCCATTACAGTCTTAAATGAGGTCGACGTCGAGCCCAAATAGGTCATTGGTGACGTGACTGACTTCAGAAAGCGTTCCGTGACCCGGCTTCGAATCTCACACAGGACATAGTCAGTTCCTTCAAGAGACTGTAGATATGCCTTGACTGGTAAGTGCCAACAATTAGCACAAAACCTAGATCGAGCCAAGTCTTCAGGCTGACTGCCTCCAACTACCCAACAACCGAAACAATTCAGACTGCATCACGACTGCGAGCCACCTAGGATGGTGGTCACATTACCAACTTGACTGATAGAATTCAATCCATTTAGACATTAAAGAAAACTAAACATGTAGTTCCGAAAAAAGGCTCTTTTCGAAGAATTCATTTTCCCTTTCGGCTACGCACAATCGCATTTAAAAACAATCTCTAGATATGATGGCGAAGATGTGTAGCCCAGGTGAATGATTTTGATGTAGCTGTTTTCTCTGGGCTGACTGGATGGTCTATTTGCGAAGCTTTCATCATCTTCAGCGCATACTTCAATTGGTTGAAGTGAGATTTATCGATTCACCACTAGTTTATTAATCATCCCTCCTGGAGAACTAGAACATGATTGGTTGTTTTTGTGTGCTTTCACACGCTCTAGCCCACTTGTATTGGTACGGATTGTTCCCTGCAATGCAAAGAGGAGACGAAAGCATATTGATTTCGATAAGTTGTTCTTCACCTTGTAGATTATTTGAAGGAGGACGCGTCTGTTGAAATGGGATGACCAGTGTCTTCTAGGTGTCCGATTATCATACTCCACATAGAGCCATTAACGCCTTTCTGAAATGATTTAGGATGAAGTTCTTAAACCCTTTCAAACACGATATGCAGTGAAAGATCAACATGCTTGTCTGCACAGGAACAAGCTTTTAGATGACAAGAGAATATCAGTGTTTTGTGAAAAAATAAACTGGTTATAAGTGTGACTGTACAGCGAAAGGTGTAAATGAATTCTCTGAGAAGAGCCTCTTCGCAGAACTACGTGTTCTGTTTTCATCGATCACATAATTCAGTCTACAACAACCATGTCGAAGACTAAGCGCATGACATGACTTACTAACCACCTAATTTACAACCAAAGGATAAAAAACTCAACATTTAATTGTACAAAGTTTTTATGACATAACACAAATCAATAAGTACAGAAGTACTCACTAAATCCCAAGAAATACAATTTTTAAAAGAAACAACTCATTTCACACACATACAAGCGACACCAGAACGAAAATGCAGAATACATAAAACGTTAACAAATAAAATGATGAAGTCAATTGATTGTTTCAAAAGTTAGTAGTAGTAAAGAGTCGATCGGTTGATAAAAGCTTTACAATTATAACTGACACTCTTTTTCTCTCGACTTTCCTCTGTCGCTCTCTCTCTATCTCTATCTCTGCTTGTTTTCTCCTGACTTCGCATCCATTCACATTTGACAGCTCCTTATGTCTTCTTTTTGAATCCTCTGTGGTTATTTTATGGCTGAAATTTTGTAATAATTTCTACATTATTCTCTAAGTTCATTTCATTCAAGGATTGATTAATATTTAATTCAGTAGTATCATTAGGCCAATAGAAGTGAATTTTCTTTTCAGCCATTGGATTACCTAATTGATAAGCGATAACAGTAGCACAATATCTAAAACATAATAATAAACAAACATTTATGCGTGTGTGTTCGTAAATTTGACAGGAATCGGCTTCATAAAAGAGTTAATATCTTATGATTGATTGTTTGATCGGTTGACCGTGAACTTTCATCATCTTTTTCTTACAAAGTAAGATAGAAACGAGAAAGAACATTACTATGACCAAGGTAAAGAAAGGGGTTTGACAAAACATTTTTGAACACAAATAATTTAGGTTTCTGTACATGTATAGCTAAAGCTTCGGCTAGCTATGCATAAGTGAAGAAAACGTAAACATTTGAAGCGATTCGATTTTGCCATTTAGATAACCTTGAAGGATGAATCACGTGGGGCTGAATGTCCAGACTCTAACAGGTGATCACAAATAGACTTCGACTTCGCAGTTCTACGTTCGCCTTTGATAAACCAAACTAGATAGTGTTCAGCTACACATTTTTGGAGAGTACGCTTACAACACCCAATATAATCAGCTACGCAAGAACAGGTAATAGAGTAAATGCACATAGATGTGGACATAAGCGATAAACTATCCTTGACGCATTGTCTAATCATATTTCGGCTGATAAAAACTAGTTGTAAGTCAGCTGCAGGAAAAGTGCCTTTAATACATTTAAATAAATGATTTTTAATCAATTCAGAAATGGTGTCACTATTGAATGCCAGATTCATAAACAGTTTTTTTCTTCGACACTGTGATTTTTCTAGGGGCGGATTCTTTCTTGATGTTAGGTTCAATAAACCTTTTAGGATATCCATTGTTAAGGAGATTTGATCGAAGGTTATCTAGTTCTCTACCGATTGTCTCTATGGAGAAGATTTTACGAATTCTGGAGCGTAGGGAATGAATAAGATTTCTTTTTCTTCTTAAAGGTACCCAACTGTTGAAGTTGATTACAGCTTGCTATTCTCTTTTCTATCTAGCTTAACGTCAAGGAAGTGAAACGAGGAATTCGACTCTTCTTCGACCGTGAAAAGCAAAGATGGATGAAAACCATTACATCGGTCTGGTTCAAATCACCAACGAATCAGAATATTTATTTTTCTCTGACCCAGTCGAAACGCCTACCAATCAGAACAACGTATTTTTTCACTGCCCTGGGCCGATTTTAATATGGTTAAGAAAATATATAAATATGGTGTGTTTTTCCTAATAAAATTGGCCAGCTTTTGTCTTTTAATATTTACCTGACTCATCGAAATGGAAGGTATCACAGAAGAACAGGCGTAGTTAGCACACCAGTTGAATTGTCCATTTGCGTCAGTATTATTATACACAAGCATAAGTCTACTGGGTCATATGAACTGTCGGAGAGGTGTGATGCAGACAATGTGCTCCAGAGGAATATTATTCTCATATATTCTCACAGTTCAATACTACATTAGCAGAAGAATACTATATATATATATATATTCGTTTGCTTCTATGCCTTGCCTTCTGCTAATTACTGACCCAGACCATAAGAAAATTATATTCGGATAATGCAGATATGAAATAATTTAATGTCGATTGTTAAATTTCCTCATGAACCAACATTAGTTAAAGGAACATCAGTGAAAACCAGAAGAGATCAATGGAAACAAGTGTTTCGCCCCATTCGAAAACTCCTCATTCATTAGTGCATGCCAAAATTCCCACTGGAGATCCAACTTTGAATCTTCATATTAAGAGATTAAGCTCGTTGACCAGTTAACCACTTTGGCGGGATGGTTAGTGACTCATGAACTCTTACTTCTGTCAATCTAACTATTTCTGTGGAGACAGTTACACACGTAGAACAAATTAACAAGCCCCCCGTTACCCTCTTCAACACTACCTAACGTGGTTAGTTAGGTAAGTCAACCAGAAGTGTTCCATATTGGTACATATGGTGGGTAAAAGGCAAAAGATTGATAAAAATTCAGTCTTTACAATTGTATACAAAGGTGAAACTGAAATTCTTTATGTCTGACTGCTAAGCACACCCAAGGTAGTTGCCACAACCAGCGACAACAACAATCATCGCTAATCACTTTCAAAGGGAGTAATTTGAAAGAGGGCACCACTTCCTTCACTTATCTGGCCAACAACCAACCTTTCAACCACAGGCAGTCAGGACAGATGAAGATGTCAACACCAACTAGAATCAAAGAGGTAAGGCACACCTTCACCAATCTTAAATTGGTGTGGAACTCTTCCACACTGCACTCAGCTGCATAAACAACAAGATTCAGATTCTGTTCAACACAAATGTGAAGTCAATCAGTTCTTCCATGTGGGTTAAAAACTTGCACACCGCGTTACAAATAGCATTTCAAACAACCTATTGCAGACTTTCGTCAACAGCCGCCCCAGTTGCCCACATTATTACTATTAGCATTATTGTTCCCTTGGGTTCCTAGTGGAAAACAGGGCTTCAACTGTAAGTCTCCACTTCCTTCTGTCTTCTGCTGTAATCTTCACCTGCGTCCATGTTAGTTCATACTGTTTCAACTCCTCTTCACACGATCTTCTTCATGTCATCCTTGGAGATCCCACTCGCCTCTTCCCTTACGGGTTCCAATCGAGTGATGGCCTGACGCGCTATATCACCCAGCGGCCTTCTCAGTGAGTGTCCAATTCGTCACCTCCACTTTCTCTTGCATATTTCGTGGGTGATTGGTTCTTGTTTTGTTTGTTTGTCCCCACAGTTTCCAACAGTTGGTGATTCTGGTTATTCCGATCCGGCCATCTGATCTTCAGTATAGAGCCAGAGAAGACAGTTGTTGTTGTTGTTGTTGATAAAGGTCTGAGTTAGCCTGTTGGTTGGAAATATTCTTTGTGCCCTGCCCGCTCGCCAAGTTTCTGATCCGTTCCGTATAGAAGAACTGACTGACTTGACGTTTGGTTGTATTGAAAATCTGACCGAATTTTGTTATTGATGCTGGCTGAGTGACGAAGATTTTCGCAGATTGGTTTCAGGTTGATGAATGTGTTTCTCGCCTTCCCGATTCTCGCTCGATTTGACATCCTTGTCCATTCCGACTGCTTGTAGTTGAGACGATGTTCCGTAGATAAGTGAGTGAATGAAGTAACCTCTTTCAAATCCCCTCCCGTTGATGGTGATTGGCGCTAGGTGTTGCTGCTTTTGTTGTTGTTGTTGGTGGTGGTGGTGGTTGGTTATTTTCATCACCTCCATCTTGTCTATATTCACCTGGAGTCCTGTCTTCGCTGGCTGCTTCTTCGACCAGTTTGTCGGTCTGCCTCCATAGTGAAGATCAAATGATCAACCAGAAAGAATTAGCAACGAGAAACTCTGTCCATAAACTAACCAGCCACCCGTCATTCAACAAATATGTAGCAGAATATGGAGATGGATTTGGCACATACCACTGAGAAGACCATTGAATGACTTCGCGTGCAATTCAGGCCATCGCTCCAGTGGGACCCTAATGGAAAACGATGAGTGTGGCACTAGACCGAGGAGATCGTGTGAGGAAGATATTACAGATTATTTTCATTTATGGGCCCATCCGAATAGGACAGCAGAAAATAAAAGAAAGCGAAGATGTGTTACTGAAGCCCTACTTTCCAGTTGGAACCCAAGAGAACAAACTGTAAGCACGTCGCTACAGTCAATTACCTCATCTGCTCACTTCCTCCAACCCTTATTCTCATGATTCGTTAACTCTTGCATCCTGCCTATTATTCTCTGTTGTTCCCCCTTAGTTCTCCCTGGACTACTGAAGAAAGACCATACCTTATTACGCAGGATATTAAAGGTTGTCAGCAGGGTAAGCTACGCGCCACATAACCAGCTTATTCGTATTCTGGTCGACAGGCACTTGGACTCATGTGGAAAATGGGCTAAGTCCATTCTACCTAACTCACACCATCCTCTTCATTCACAACTCTCTCCTTGTATCTCATCAAGCAGAACCAGAAGCCTATACAGAAAACTATATGCTCGCGCTAGCAAGCACAAAAACTCAACCATACCCTACTTAGCTCGTGTTCTGTGCGATAAAGAAAGCATTAGGCGTGATACCCATAACTTATTAAATAGTCAGTAGAACAACTGGATCTCGTCTTTCCAACTCATATCATTTACAGGTACAACGTTTTCTTTCTTTCTTTTCCTTTTCTCTCGGTCTTTTTTTCTGAGTTACGTGCTGCTTTGTTTCTTTCTTCCGCTTACGCCAGTAAATATGCTAGCATCTACTTTTCTAACACCTTCAAACACTCCGTTCAATTTTGGTTTCGCTACCGACATGCCAATATGTTGTTGTCAAAACTAATCTGAGATTACCCTTAACCTATGTAGAATTTTATTTGTTGATTTTTAGTGTACTAACTGGATGGAATACTGTGGTGAAATGCAGAGAATCCCATTCTATATCACAGGTACTCTTTTGGAATAAAGCAAATTATTATTCTTCACTTATTTCCTTTACAAAATAGCTCTTCAGAAATGAGTTTTGTACAAAAGTGTACCATGTCATTTTCAGAAGACGATGTAGTACGCCCGATTTATAAAATCGACAAATTATTCAGCTGGTACAGCCTGAAAAACATTCAAAGCGTCTAGTGTAATGATTAAGAATATTTTGTCTTCAAATAGCCTGTTAAAGTCCATCTAAATACTTAACATATCACTTAAAATTAAAATTTATGTGTGTCTGCATTTAAGTTCTACAAATGGGACAGTTATCGTTTCGTCTTACTTCAGGACTCTTCGGCAATTTCTAAAGTGAAATCAAACTTCCAGAGCAGTACTTCTACTCATGAGGGAAAACGAATTTCATTATCATTACCATTATTTCCTTCTATCCCGAGTTGATCAAAGCGTTCGAATAGCACAACTTCACCATATCACCCTATCACCCTTGGTTCTTTTTAGCTAGTTCCAAGATTCCCTATAAACTGTCATCCCCTCTTCTTACGCACGGCCTACTTCATGTCACCTTAGGATATTAAACTTGTCGCTTTCTATTAAGGTTCCACTTGAGCGATGACCCGACATGCAACATCATTTAATGACGTCTCTTTCCGGAAGAATATTTCTCAACTCAACACGCAAAACATCCTATAAGTAGATAAATAGGAACAGAACAACGAAACTAAGGTTATTAGATGGTTGGAGGCAATCGGCCACAGGAAGCCTTGGACCAAGTTTTCGTGCTACCTGGCACTCGTGAGCAAGGCGTATCGGCAACTTTGAAGGAAGTCATGTTCCTCCTGAGATTCGAACCCGTGTCACACAGTGCTGCAGTCAGAGACGCTACCATTGGGCTATTCGGACTCGCGATTGATCTCCTGTAGGACTGTAGTGGATATTTTGATTAGACACTAGTAACTACTGCGATGTGTCTAGTCCTTTATTTGGTGCACATTGGATTCTATCAGTCAGGCTTGCAATGTGACCACCATTCTAGGTAGCTCGCAATCACGGTACACATTGACTTGATGATGGCGAGCTATCTAGAATGGTGGCCACAATGCAAACCTGACTGATAGAATTCAGTCCGCACCGAAGAAAGGACTATACACGTCACACTAGTTACTTATGTCAAATCAAATTACAACTAAGATTAGTTAACCAGTCGTAATCAGTTCAAAAGCAAACGTCTTCTCTTAATCTATACAGCAGAAATAAGCAGACTTACTTCAATGGTATATCATTTCTTATTTTCATATGCAATTTATTCTCTTTCCCAACATTAAAATCAAAGTAAACATCACTCCAGTGAGATGGCGATCGAGAATAGTCTGAATGTGATAAACTCCGATAATAGCCCTCAAATGGATTGCACCCAGCATTATTGAATGCATTGAAGTCGATCGCCAACACCGCGTGCTGTTCATGTGTCTTTAATTGAATTTTATATTCAACGGTATCAACAGGCGTCTTGTTCAATTGAGACTGAATCTTTAAAAATTGATTGTTACTTTGTTTAAATCGACTGTTAGCGTCTATTCGCGAATAGTTGAAGGATGAAGGGAGAAATTTATTTCGTAACAATATAATACTACGCTTTTTTATAGGTGATATCCAAATAATTGTACTATTGAACTCTTGAAATATAATTTGTTGGTGATTTTGTCTTAAATTATTTTTTAATTTTCTATTAAATACTTTAGAAGCAGAACTTTGGTCAGTTTTTTTAACTAAACCATGTTGTAGATGGATATTTTTTCTGACTAGTAGTAAATCGCCTTGTGATTTATAATAAGCCTTTTGTTTTAGTTCATCACTTCTTGATAAGATTGAATTTTGAACAATTTTAACTTCAAGGTCATCTTTCTTCATTTTCTGTTGCCGTTGTTGTTGGTGGTGTTCCGTCCCTTGTTTTTGTTCCACTTTAGTTATTTGCTCATAAAAGTTGTAATGATAATAATAGTCAGTGAAATCAGATAATGGACTGTCAAGTCGATCAAAAACAGTTGACCGGGGATCGTTGTGTTTCTCAGTGGATGACTTGTTGTTCAATAGTTCAATAGTTTTCTTTTCTGAATTATACAACTGTCTGTTTAAATCAACTAATAAATTATTAGCCTCTTTTTCATCCTCTAATTCTGATTGAGGCTTATCACCAGTCTTTGTTCCACATTCATCTTGTGATTTATGATTAATGGCGGAAATATTGCTACAAAATTCCTGACCATTGTCGAGTAATTCACATTTACTGTCATTATTTATTTTAGACGCGTTATTCATAACATCACCAAATTGTTCAATGTTCAAGCGTTCATGGTGATCTTCAAATGATTGTTTAAGTGGTATATCTGTTAAATGTTCCAATGGTGAATTCGCTTGTTTTAAATCGATTGGATTTTGTTGTTGTTCAATGTCTATTGAACATAAACTATCGTCCAGATATGAATTTAAAGATTTATTAGCAATAGAATAAAGTGTTTCTAATTCATCATTAAATTTTGTGTCAGTAGATTCACTGTCAAATATCTGAACTTGAAAAGTTTGTTCAAATTTATTATTGCGTGGTTGTTTTGAAACGATGGATTTAAGTAATATGTGGAAATCAACTAATTTTTGAGTTATTGGTTTACATTTTTTATAATTTGCACTTTTTATATCTTTATCTTCGTTTTGTTTTCTTTGACTGATGAGCTTTTTAGCTAAATATTGCAGCATATTATTATTGTCATCATTAATAGCATAATAACAGTTTGAATAGATGGTTATTATTGATTTCGCATGTCATGTGAGCTATTTTGTTAATTAAAATAAAAATTGGTTAAGGGATTTTTAAGAGTTCGACCACGGTTGATATTAGTTAGAGAAACCGATTCAGTGGTCACCGTTATGAATCCTAACTTCTACCATATTGTTGATTTAGCACGACTGGCACCAACCCCAATATCATCGGTGAGAAATCCATCGTCACACTTGACTGGATGGACCTCATTAATCCCGACATCTCATTGGAACTCCAGGAAACTCCGTTCTGTAGCAAGTCACTAATCCTTACAAACCAAATCTGATGTTCTCCAGTGACCTGCTGCAGGATTGAGGTTCCTGGAGTTCTAGTGAGAACTTGTGATCAGAGAGGTTCAACCAGTCAAGTGTGAGGATGGATTTCCCACCAATGACATTGGTTGGTGGTCGTGCTAAATCACGAACTGGTAGATGTTAGACTTCATGGGCTGGCCAGTGAATCGGTTGCTACCAGTGGCTGAATGGTATACAGGCTTGCCTTGTAACCGGAAGGTCCTGAGTTCAAACCGCACGATGCGGGTGCGTACAAACAATGATTCCCAAACAAGGATGAAACATCTGTCCATTACTCCAGTGCTGGTTTTCAATGATTCTTTAGCTGATATCAATCCGTGGTCAAACTCTTTAAAATAATCGAATCCTTCCCAAACAACTCTTGAATATTAAAGGATCTTATCATCATGAGCTGACATCGGTTAGAGAACCACTGGGAAACCAGCCATAAGGGAGTAATGGGCAGAAATCCTGGTCAAACTAGTCTGAGACTCATCGGAAGTACGCACTCACTACACAGGTTCGAACCCATGATCTTCCGATTACCAGCCGAACTCGTAGATAATTAAGCCAATGTGATCCGATCCAATGGCCAGCTCATCAATTCTAACTTCTAGCCAGTATCATCACTGGCGATTTTCTGTCCTAACTCCTGATCGGGTGGACCCAACTGGTTACGACTTCTCCAACCGATATCATCTCATGATGAGATCATGTAACCAATCAAATCAAATCCCTGCAAACCAACTCTTGAATATCTATCTGATGCTCACTAGCGATTCACCCTATTCAAGTACGTAGTTGCCTGGGTTCTAGTGCGAAGTCGTGACCAATGAGGTACAGCAGTAAGGACAAATACTCGCCACAGATGACATTGGGTATTGCCAGTCGTGCTATATGGTAACTCGTCAGCAGTTGGAATTCATGGACTGGCTTAATGGTGCACGAGGTCGTCTTGTAACCATAGGGTCCTGGATTCGAACCCCGGAGGTGGGTGGGTGCGTACTGATGAAGAGTCTCAAACTAGTCTGATAAGAGTGGCTGTCCAATACTCCCCTATGGCTGGTTGCCCAATGGTTCTCTAGCCGATGTCAGCTCATGATGAAATCCTGTAACCAAAGAGTTGAACATACTTCTTCCACAGTGGCATAGAGTAACAACAGTGGAACTAAAAGTAATTTGTCAAATAGTTAAGAGTTAAATAGGTTAACTATTCATATGATAATTAGACGACTAAGCCTGGAGACGAAAAGACAGATTTCAACAGACTTTTGTGCGTAGAAACAACATTTAACTAGAAAGAGTGTAACAATATAATAGGTCACGTAACTACAGAAGATAAGTTTGTAGCGGTAGGTAATTCGCCAGAATTACTAGCCACAGCATTAATCACCGAAAATTGGATGTTAACCCTCACTGTTTAAGTCAATTTGTTTAGCTAATGGCTTACGGTCAAGCATCCACGCCATTTGGTACGCCGTCGTGTTACGTTAGTTCGTTAGTTCGTGCACGATCCCTACTCAGTTAAGCAAGCATCTCGCACTCCAATTTGATTCTGAAATTTAATTCTTAATTTGGACAGTCAATGCTGGAGTTTTGCTTTGCCTTTGGTCTACGCAGAACGAGTACTATAGAAGTTATTGGTACAAAATCTTGCGTTAGTATACTTTGTACTATCCGTTAACATAAATACCTTCAGCCTCTAAGTGTTCTTGTAAAGTAGCGAAAAAAGTGTACTAGGATGAGTTATGTCTAGATGAAACAACAAAATTTTCTAAACACCACGCAACGTGACGTAATAAGACTTGTATACTTTTTTATCATCAAGGCAGCGCAAGTCTCATCATTGCCTCTATTTGTGTACACAGATTCCATTTTATTCATTTGCTGGCGTTTACCCTGGCAAAATGTATCAAGTTGGGCGGGTTCTTTTGCCTATTGAGATTATTTTGAACGTCTTCACATTGTTGAAAACGTGGCCAGTATTCATTAGATGGTGTGCAATGCACTGTTTAGTGTTTGCTAGGCCTTCAGTCTCACCTACGTTGTTTGGTATGTGTGTGTGTGGCAGACCTTAGACTCTGCTAGCATAATATCCCAAATTCGAATAGAAATAAAAAATACAAAATCGGTAAAATTACTGGAAGAATATATAATAAAATTTGTTACTTGGGTTATTACAAGGTCCAAATCTACAATTAACTTAGTAGACTCCAGAAGTATTGTGAGAAGACTGCTCCAATGTCACTATTGCCAGAGGTATACCAAGGTAACGTTGAGAGAAAATATGACGTCCCTGCGAAATTTTGGAATAGAAGGTAGGTAATTAGAATTGGCCGATGATAGTTGAGATGGTGGAGAAAACGCAGAGATGTAGGCAAAACTATATTTTCATTCAAATCACGAGGTTAAGTTCAAAGTACAGAGATTCTGGTTAAAACAAAGTAATGTACAATATGTTCATTTCTCACATGGTAGTAAAAGTTGTATAAGTTTATTTTTGAGGTCTCCATATGTGTTCAAAAATGCGGACAATAACTTTTCCCTCTGTTCTTACAGTGTATTTACTTTGGCACATACATGGAAATTGATATCGGTTGGATATGTCCTTTTCAGTACAGTCTTCAGTTTGCATCCTATTCTACCGGTAATATCATCCACTTTTGAAGGTAAGACGCTGAAAGATTGACTTTTACTCCACTTTGTTGTAATTCATTTTGTCAACTCTACGTTTACCATTTGTACCATTATCACTTCGGCATCATTCCACAATAGGTATATCTTTGTCGAAATTTTCTTCTGAATAAACGCTTTCTTGCACAATCAAACAATGTTCTCATACATCCACTTCTGTAATTTATTGGAGAGAAGCTTTTGAAATAAATTAAATGAAAAATTTCCGGCAAATACAGAGTAATTCTGGGAAGATACATAAAACAAAATTGGAATTTTATCCAGAGTCGACATATCATCTTAAAATGTACTCAAAAATGCCTCAAATTTAGCTGAACACTTTCATCAAATGCTCCAAAAGTTAAATCATATTGACAATTCGCAAATTTATTTTCGTGAAGTGATTTTGTTTGATCGCATGGAGGATTTCATCATGAGCTGACATCAGTTACAGATCCACTGGAAAACCACCTGAGAGTACTGGACAGCCGTTTCGTCGACCTAGTTTTGGGCTCTTCATCAGTACGCACCCACCTCCGGGGTTTGATCTCAGGACTTTCTGGTTAAAAGGCGAGCTCACAGACCATTGAGTCACTGAGAACCAATCCAATGGCCAATGAATTATAACTTCAACCTATTCATGACAGCGCGACCATTTCGCAATGTCTTATTCGATGAGTTACTGCTTCATCTTCAACCTGCTGTACCCTACTGGTAACGGCTTCCTTCTAGAACCCCAGGTCACTGCCTGGATAGAGCACAGTCGCTAGTGAAATTATATTAATTTCCAAGTACTGGTTTTGCAGGGATATTCGCATATTCATTTGAAATTTACGCACAGTTTGAAGAGATGAAGTTTCACCCCACACGCTTTCTCTTGGGAATGAAAATTATTCACATCACCAAAACGTGTGATCTGCTTGATTCTACAACTGGTGATCAAGAAGGCAAGCATAACTACATAAGAGTACATACTGTGGTGAGAGCTGTCTTCAAGCCGAAATTGTAGACAACAATTCACGTCAATGTTTACGTCCAGATCGTGGTCATGAAGAAAAAACAAGACAACAAAGCTTAACCTTGACGAGCTCATCAACCAATCACAGCAGACATAACATTTGCAAATACTATTCGCAGACATATGGCTTCACTTTCTAAGAAACGGTCACAAGTAACAGAGAATAAGCTTCAGAAGACGTTAACTCTCTGCCAACAATAAAGCTAATAAAAATGTACATAAAAATCAATAAATATCCATTGTTTCATACATTTATTCCCCTTAATGAATTTCAACAAAGCGAGAACTACAGGTTTAGCAGAATAAACTGGTACCATCTTTTATTTCGTTGCCTTCTCGTCACCTGCTAACAGGTCAAAGACAATATTAAATATATCTACGAAAACAATTTTAACATGCTTGCACAGAGTTCATTTCAAACAAAATCAATCGATCAATATACGCATACACTAATAATATATACATACATAAATGTAATATTAAACACTATTCCGAACAATAATGATCATACAAAATGAAAACTTTCAACATTACTTTGGTGAAAATATCCAGTTACCAGGCAGAGCAGAGAAAGACTGATAACTGCTTCTTTCTGGACTCATAAATCTGCAGGAGCAGTTACATTTGAAGGACAGGAAGAAGGGCATATCTACGATTTTCTGAACATGTACCAAAAAGCTTATGTCTAAAGCGAATAAATACTTTAAACGGTGCCATCGCCAGGCATCTCCTTGACACGCGTCATGAGGTGGACGTCGAAAAGTCGTTCAAAATTATCAATAGGCGCAAAAGGACTCAATTCTTCTCAAGTTTTCTGAAACCAATTCCATCAAACGCCTGAAACCTGATTTATGTGTGTATCCAGAAAGAAGCGGTTATCAGTCTTTCTTTGCCCTGCCTGGTAATTGGATATTTTTCACCTCTCTTTCATCTAAATGCGTGATACTGAAAAGTTTCCATTTTGTATGATTATTATTGTTGTTCGGAATAGTGTTTAATATAACATA